ACCCGGGAGGCAGATTGCAGTGAGCTGCGATCACGCCACTGCACTCCAGCCTGGCGAAAGAGCGAGGCTGTCTCAAAAAAAGAAAAAAGAAATGCATGGGAAAAACCTGGAATATCTGCCCAACTGTGAGGCGTGGCTGATGGCTAAGGGTGACAGAATGTCAGCCCTGCCTGTTCCTCCTGGCTTTAACTTTCATTTACTGAGAACGCATTACTTTGAATTCAAACACAACGACATAGGGTTTTAAAAGGAAAAGTCAGTCCACAGTGGAGAGGAGCAGGGAGCTAGAGGCTGGGCATGGAAATCCAGTGGCAAGGCTTCAGGGGACCCTGGGCTGAGCCAGAGATCAGAGGCCAGGACGGTCCTGGGGTGCAGCCATGCGGGCCTTGTGGAACTTGCCATGGCACGGCCTGCATGGTGCTGCCTTCCTGGGTGCTTGGGTACCAAGGGTGATCTGGACCTCAGATTCCTTGTTCACTGGGGAGGCCAGGGCCCAAGGGGAAGGGGAAGCCAGCCTCCCTGAAGCCCCCTCAAGCCCTTGCCTGGGGTTTGAGCATGAAGCCACAAGCCCAGCCATCCCATCACCCGCTGGTCATTGCCCAGGGCTTCAAAGGAGAACGGATGTGCCATGTCCTCACACCCGGTCCTGCGTCCTGGGGGGAAGTGGGAGCCCTGTGGGTCTCGAGGTGACACCCTGTGTCTTTGGATGCAGAGATCGTTAAGGAGGCTGAGGTGCCGCAGGCCGCACTGGGTGTCCCAGCCCACGGAACAGGGGACAGTGGCCACACACCTGTGGAGGAGGAGGTGGGGGGCATCCCAATACCAGCCCCAGGGCTTCTGCAAGTCACAGAGAGGAGGCGTAAGTACTGCTCCCCTGCCCAGCGCACTCTATGGGGACCCTGTGAGCTCCCCCAGGAGATGAGGAAGCAGGGTCCAAACACTCGCTAGGGATCTGGGTGATGGGCTCTCGCAGCTGTGGTGCTCTGGGTGTCAGCTGCACCACCTGTCAAGGGAAAGCTTTCTAGTCTAGAGTGTGCACAGCACCCATGACACCCTCCCGGTGTTGGGCGTTGCAGGAAGCTGTGGTTCACCCACGAGCCTTGTGGGAAGACACAGTGCACACTCTCCTAGACTACCCCAGGGCTCTGACTGTACCCCCTTGCCCTCTAGACCCTCAGACCTCATCAGCCTCGTAGGAGGACCTGAGGGCTGACCGCACCCCTTCTGCCCTCTAGACCCCCAGACCTCTCATCAGCCTTGTGGGAGGGCCTGAGGACTGACCGTACCCCATCTGCCCTCAGAGCCTCTGAGCAGTGTCTCCTCTCTGGAGGTCCACTTTGACCTCCTGGACCTCACTGAACTGACCGACATGTCCGACCAGGAGCTGGCCGAGGTCTTCGCTGACTCAGATGACGAGAACCTCAACACTGAGTCCCCAGCAGGTGAGGCCAGCGTCGGAGCTGAGGTGTGTGTGGTGAGATGAGGCCCCTTGGGAAGTCCTGGGTTGACCATGTGTTTTGGCAAAAGTCCATCACCACTTCACGATGCTGCTATTGCCCAACTAGAAGCTGCTTAAAACGTTACTTTTTTGCCGAGTCAGGCAGATCCCAAGGTCAGGAGTTCAAGCCTGGTCACTGTGGTGAAACCCAGTCTCTACTAAAAAAAATACAAAAATTAGCCAAGCATGTGGCATGCGCCTGTACTCCCAGCTACTCGGGAGGCTGAGGCAGGAGAATCACTTGAACCTGGGAGACAAGAGGTTGCAGTGAGCCAAGATCGCGCCACTGCATTCCAGCCTGGGCGACAGAGCAAGACTCCGTCACACTGAGCCCCCTTCCCATATCCCCCCAGGCCTCCCAGCCACACTGAGCCCCCTTCCCACACACCCGCCCAGGCCTCCCAGCCACACTGAGCCCCCTTCCCACACATCCGCCCAGGCCTCCCAGCCACACTGAGCCCCCTACTTGCATCCCCCCCCAAGGTCTGCACCCGCTGCCCCGGGCCGGCTGCCTGCGCTCCCCTTCCTGGACGAGGACAAGGGCTGAGCAGAACCGCGAGAAGCAGCCCCTAGGCGACCCCGAGCGGCAGGCTGCGGTCCTGGACACGTTTCTCACTGTGGAGAGGCCCCAGGAGGACTAGGCCATCTCTGCCTGCCCTCTAGCTGCTGCAGGGCTGGGGTCAGAACACCACCACGATGGCAGATCTGGGCAGTCCTGACCCAGCAGACACACTGCGTCCTCCCACGAGGTTCCAGCCGTCACGTCCTGACACAGTGAATCAGGGTTGGAGGCGCTGTGGAGGAGGCTCCCTGCCAACCCCAAGGCCTGCCTTGTCTGCTGGGCACAGGTCTTAGCCTCACTTGGAGACCAGCGGCTTTCCTGGGGGACACATGGGGCCCCTGGATGCCTCCGGGGGCTGCAGCACAAGCACAGCCCAGTGGCCTTATGTCCAGCTCATTCCTGAGCCCCAAATCGGGAAGACAGCATCATGGAGTCACTGCCAGGCACACAGTGAGGAGTGGAGCGGGCCACAGCGGCCTTGGAGTGAGGGGGACCTAGGCCTGTGAGAGCCACTCCAGGAATTCCTGGGTGTGCTCCAACCTCCACACTTTCCCTGCTACCCAGCTCAGAAGCCAGAAGTGGGTTTGGCTAATGGGACACTGTGCTATCCAGCAAAGCACGTGGAGGAGCGGCCCCAAAATTCCCATCGTTCCCATCTTGCCCCTTCTTCTGCCCCATGGAGCCACTGTCTCACCAGGGTCGCCGCCCCATGTCTCAGCTCTGAGACCTGCACCTGCTTCTCCTGACCCCTGCGTGAAGCCACGTCCATCCCTCCTTAGCTTAGAACACCAAAAATCACCAGACTGCCTCAGAAACTTGGCGACACCTCCCGAATGCTCTCAGGGTGGGGTTCACCCTCTCCCTGTCCTGCACCCATGACGAGGCCACATCCTCGTCTATGCTCACATCCCACTGCCCGGATACATGGCCTGCCCACAGCCCTTAAACTTGCTGGGCAGGTTTGGGGCCCATGGGACCCCATGGGTCTGTGTCCAGGGAGCAGGAGGGGAGGCTGACAGGCCCTCCTTCCTCTACTCTGGGGGTGTCTGGGGGCCCCAGCTCACGCCGTCCCAATGGTCACATGCTGATGGTCACAGAAAAGGCTTCTTGCTCGACAGCAAGTCAAAGAGTGAGTTTAATGAGTTTGACATGAAAGTGTGAGCTTGCTCTCCATCCCCAAGCCAACCAGCCCCCGCCCATTTCCCATGAGCACACTTCTGGGGAAGGAAAACAGGCTCTTGGGCCTTGTTGGCAGAGCTTCTGGAGATGCCCAGGCATACCCTGAGCTCCTTCTGTGTAGGGGGCTTTAGAGGCGGCACCTGCTCCCACTTCTCAGCCACTCCCTGCCTCTCAGCACTGCTCTGCCATCCAGTTCCTCCCTCAGCCAGGTCTCCAGCCCTGGTTTCCAGGAACAGAGCCCAGCAGCTCTCTCTCTCAGTCCCATGAAAGTATGCTTGCACCCCTGGCCACACCTCCACCCACCAGGGTCTTCCTCCCAATCTTCCATCCTTCTTGCTGAGGTTCCACAGAGCTCATGTACAAACAGTGGGATTAAAACATCACTGCGGGTTTGACGGCCTGGCTGCAGTCTCTTCCTTCCCAACACCAGAGTGCACGAGGAGGTGCCTGCTGAGGGGCGTGGGCTGAGCTGCCCTGGCCCAGATCATTCCCCAGCTGCCAGAGCCCGAGAGCTCTGCTGTGCTGTGCTGTGCTCACTTGGATCACCTCTGGGGCGGGTGTTGTACTTACAAGAGAAGGGAGGATTAAGGGGGTAAGTCCTGCCCCACATACACCGTGAAGGGGGCCCAGGCAGGGGAGTCACTCTCGACACACTCCTGTCCCAGCGGCCACTAGCACTGGTCACGAGGCGGCACCAGATGAGGCCAAAACTCCTACCCAGTCATTACTCATGGAGCGAGATGCCATGGAGCCCGGCCAGGGGTGACCTGCTTTCTGCCAGGCCCACGGGGCTCTGTGTGCTTTCATGCTGGGCTCTGAGAAATCTGGACCTCCCACACGTGAAAATTTTCAGCCAGGCGTCTTATGACCGTGGACCCAGAAACAGCCTCAGTCAGTGCTCCACCTTCCCCAGACGCGGCCTTGGTCGGTGCCCCGCCTTCCCCAGAGACGTCCTCGGTCAGTGCTCTGCCTTCTCTAAGGGTGCACAGCTGCTGCCAGGAGCAGGCATTCCACCCCATCCCACCTTCCCTTCTGGCAGAGGGAGGCGGGCAGGCTGACAAATAGAGGGGCTGAAGGCTCATGTCCCCGAAGGGTGCACAGAGTGCCACAGCACAGACTACAGTGCCCAGAGGCATCACACCGCTTGGGTGATGGTGCTTCTCCGCAAAGGTGCAGCTGAGCCACCCCAACAGGCAGATGAGGGCAAACTGCGGGTCACACTCAGGACGGGTGGGAAAAGACCGTGGAAAGTGGGTGTGTGGATTCACAGAGTGAGACAGCTCCAGATTTACTTCAGGACTAATTTGTGAAGGACACAGGTGGGAAGGCTGGGGGAAGGCACGTGACAGCCCTAACAAGGTGAGGGCGAAGGCAGGCGCCGAGAAGACAGTTCTGGAGGGTTCTTGTGCCTCCCACACGCAGATTATCATGAAGGGCCGCAGGCACACGCAACTGCCTGGGAGGTGACAAAACGGACGCCCAGGCTCTCCCAGCGGTGTCGGAGGGGCCAGGGCCATGACCTTCCACAACCCCGTGACCACCCTGCACCCTGGAGGCCCCACCAGATGCTACGATGTCGCGGGGCCTGCTGGGGTTGAGGGAGTACCCCTGCCTCCATCTGAGGGACCAAGACCCAGCCCCAAGCAGACCCCAAGCGGCTCAGCCACTCTGGGTCTGGTGGAGGCCATGATGAAGGCTGAGTGCTGGAGAGTTTTTGAGTTCAATGATGTGCCCTTTGCAAACAGCAAAAGTTGAACATGCTCACCCCAGTTGGAAATTATATTTCTACAGCTCCGGGACAAAAGTCGCAAGCAATTTGCATAACGTACTATGAAGTCCCAATGCGGTCGGGCCTAGGCCGAGAGAGAGGCTGAGAACAAACTATGCCCAGCGCAGCCAGCAGGGCCACCTCCTCCTGCCGCTCACCCAGGACATCTGCAAAAGGGTATCTCCCCTGTTCCCATCCCACGTCACCCAGACGTGCATCCACCCCTCAAAAGGCAGTGGTCGGGGCTGACACTACACAGCCCTGCTGCTGCTGACCCCAGTGAGTCCTGGAGGCAGGTCGTGTCCTGGAGAAAGCACACGGACATCCTCACCGAGTCCCACACACCCCAGTTAAGAAAAAGCAAAGCCTCCCTCAGTTAAAGTTTGGTGCCTCCTGAGGCACCAAAGGGCCTGGAGCTCAAAGCCCAAACGGGGCCTTCCTTTTATTAGGAGCCACCCAGCCCCGCGAAAAGGGTTCATAAACAGGCACCAGGGCCAGAGGCGGCCACATGCTGAGGGCTCAGGACCACAGCCTCTCCACAAACACCCCTGAGCCAGCCAGGGCCCTGCAGAGCTTCCCCTCCAAGACTTCAACAAAGAGGTCACAGGAGCAGAAGCTGATGATGCAGTCTTAAGTTCAGACACATCTGTGGTTAAAGCACCTCCACCCCAAGGATAGGTGCCAGGTTTGCTGAGCAAATCAGGTCCCTCGCACTCAGAGCAGGGCTGCCTCGGGCCCAGCAACAGGTAGAGGCCAGGGGTGCCCCAGAGTGGAACCCCAGGCGTTCCAGGTTTTGCTAGGCAACTCACGTCCCTCACACTCAGAGCAGGGCTGCCATGGGGCCTAGGTGCAGGCAGAGGTGGGGGTTGCCCGGGCATGGAACCTCAGGTATGGAGCCCCACAGTTCCGCCATCCTCCCTCAGCCACGCACCTGTGGGTGGAGTGGGCTTTCCCTCTGAAGGACAGATCAGCAGATGAGTTTCTACCCATCCAAATAGCTGCTTAAGAAACCTGACTTTCCACTGACAACTGGCTGGTGTTCTTCTGAATTCTACCAAACTGAGACGGTTTCCGTGCTGGGCCCAGACTCCTCTGAGTGACTTTACGACCACATCAACACTCCTCCACAGAGGCAGGCCCCAGGAAGGTCCAGTGTCTCCAGATGCCCCATCAAGCCCCTCCTGAAGCTACGCACAGGGTTCCCAGACAGGCACCACACCTTCCTCAGCACCACGGGAGAGCCCTGCTCCCCTCCCTCTAACCCGGACCCAACTGTCCTCTAGCAGCAGGGCCCAGGGACTCAGGGCAGCCCTTCCGCCCACCCCATGCCCTGCATGTGGGCTCAGAGCACCCTCATCTAAAACACCAGTTTGCAGCTGTCACGTTTTAATTTGTTTTTGGCGAGCTTCTCCAGCTGCTCTGCAAAGGTCCCAGGAAATCTGAGTCACCTGAGCTCCACCAGTGGCTACAAAGACCTCCCCTGTACAGGCTGCTCTACGTCTCCCTCCTCCTGTCCCCGGTTGCAGCCCTTCAGCCCTGCGGGTAGGGATGTGTCCTCCTCCAGGCCACCCATGCCCTCCACAAACTCCTCGTAGGTGGACTTCTCCGCGAAGGGCCGGGGACCCAACAGCTCCACCATGTCTGCCTTCTCCAGCACTTCCTTCTCCAGGAGCCGCTGGCCCACCTGGAAACAATGGCCCACTTGTCAGACAGCTCTGAGGACGTGCTCACGGCCTAGAGCTGAGCAAGCCCAAGGATAGGTGTGGCCTGAATGTGACCCAACATGGGACCCATGACCCAGCCATCTAGGCAGAGGCCACACTAACCTTCTCCACATGCTCCCGACACTGTGTCAGCAGGTCCAGGGTGCGCTTGTAGGCGGCGCAGATGAGGCACCGGACCTCCTCATCGATGAGCTGGGCAGTTGCCTCGCTGTATGGCTTCTCCACCAGGGCCTTGCCTTGTTGGGGAAAGCCGAAGGACACCTGGCCCAGCTTCTCACTCATCCCAAACTGCACAATCTAGAAGTACGGAACCCGGGGTGAGCCTGGCCCGACAGTCGCCTGCAGCCCACCCCAGGGGATGCCCATGCTTTACCTGGGCATAGGTGCTCTGGGTGACCTTCCTCAGGTCATCCTGAGCCCCCGTAGTGACCTGCCCAAAGCATAGCTGCTCAGCCACCCTGCCCCCAAGCATCATGCACATGCGATCGAAGAGCTGCTCCTGGGTATAGAGGTGCTGCTCCCTCGGCAGGTACTGCGCATAGCCCAGCCCCTTGCCCCGGGGGATGATGGACACCTGCAGGAGACGACACATGCCCCTGTCACCCCATGCTCCCTCGGCAGGTACTGCGCACGGCCGAGCCCCCTGCCCAGGGGATGATGGACACCTGCAGGAGACAATACATGCCCCCGTCACCCCAAACACAGTCCCCAATTCCTCCAGAAGCCACCCTGGAGCAGCCAGGTCCACCTGACCCTAGCTCTGACTGCAGGTCCTTTTACTGGAACATGAGAGAAGAGAGCCTGATCCAGGCCCCCAGACACCATGGGGATGCCCCAAGAAGTGCACCCGCCTCTGGGAGCTTCACATGGAAATCACCTCTGCTCTGCCCACCCTGCAGAGGCTCTGGCAGGGCCCAAGAGCTGCATGCAAGCTCAGGAGTGAGGCGAGCTGAACACTGAGGCTGCTGCCTGTAGTCACGCTGCCGAAGCCCTATTTGGAACCCACTGCTCTGCCTTCCCACCCCGAAGGGTCTTCTGACAAGTTCTAGAGCAGCATATTCCTTAAAAAGTTACAGGGCTACCTCCTGAATGTCCCAGGGCCACACCACCACGGGTTGGCCCAGAGATACCAGGCGCAAGCCTGCCGGGTGGACTCACTCGGGGCGCGGCAGGGGGATACCAACCTTCAGCAGGGGGTCCACATGCTCCAGGAACCAGCCCACCACCGCGTGTCCGGCCTCATGGTAGGCCACAGTTGTCTTCTCCCTGGGCTGCAGGACCTGGGTCTTCTTCTCAAGGCCTAGACATCACATTCCCAGGTGAGTCAGGCGGGGCAGGAGTAGGTGGCTGGAAAACGAGGCCACTCCCTCTGCACCCAGCCAGGATCCCCAGGCCCAACTATACCAGACAGCAGAAGCCAAGCCCCTGTTCCCGCTGCCTTCTGCTTTGCAGTGAAACCCACCAACAACACACCTCACACGGAAGCCTTAAAACAGGCCCAAGCTGGAGTGCAAGGCCAGAGTTCAAGATCAGCCTGCACAACACAGCAAAACCCCATCTCTACTAAAAATACAATTAGCTGGGTATGGTGGCGCACGCCTATAGCCCCAGCTCTCAGGAGGCTGAGGCAGGAAAATCGCTTGAACCCAGGAGGTGGAGGTTGCAGTGGGCCGAGATCACGCCACTGTACTCCAGCCTGGGCAACAGAGGAAGACTCCATCTCAAAAAAAAAAAAGAAAAAGAAAAAAGGAAATGCCCGGGACAGATGGTCCCTGCAGCGTCCACGAGGCTTTTCCCAGAAAACCACATCTGTTCCCCTTCCCTTCAGGGAAGAAGGCTGCTTTGCCCTCCAGAGCAGGCATTCAAAGCTGCTTCTAATCTGGCTTCCTTGGGCCTCACATGGCCTGGAAGGTCCATCCCTTTCAAGGTCTAAATGTTGCTCCCAAAAGGGGCATGAAAGCTGTTGGAAGATCCCAAGTCCCATGTGTTGGTTTAGAAACTTGGTTCCTGCAGCTGAGTGCGGTGGCTCACACCTGGAATCCCAGCATTTTGGGAGAAGCTAGGTGGATCACATGAGGTCAGAAGTTCGAGACCAGCCTGGGCAACATGACAAAACTCCATCTCTAAAAATACAAAAATTAGCCGGGTGTGGTGGCATGCCCCTATAATCCCACCTATCTGGGAAGCTGAGGCGGGAGACTCACTTGAACCCAGGAGGCAGAGGTTGCAGTGAGCCAAGGTCGTGCCACTGCACTCCAGCCTGGGCAACAAGAGCAAAACTCCGTCTCAAAAAAAAAAAAAAGAAAAAATTAGGTTCCTGCATGTGAACTGATTTTTTTTTTTTTTCATGAGATTCTCCTGCCTAAGCCTCCTGAGTAGCTGGTACTAGGCATGTGCCACCACACCTAGCTAATTTTTTTTTTTGAGACAGAGTTTCATTCTGTCACCAGGCATACAATGGCATGATCTGGGTTCACTGCAATCTCCGCCTCCTGGGTTCAAGCGATTCTCATGCCTTAGCCTCCTCAGTAGCTAGGACTACAGGCACACGCCACCACACCCAACTAATTTTTATACTTTTAGTAGTGATGGGGTTTCATCATGTTGGCCAGAATGGTCTCGATCTCCTGACCTTGTGATCCACCCACCTTGGCCTTTCAAAGTGCTGAGATTACAGGCACGAGCCATGTGCCCAGCCTAATTTTTATATTTAAAAAACGAGACAGGGTTTCGTCACGCTGGCCAGGCTGGTCTTGCACTCCTGATCTCAAGTGATCCACCCGCCTTGGCCTCCCATGGTGCTGGGATTACAGGCATGAGCCACCGCACGTGGCTTGCATGCAGAAATGGGCCAGGGGGTGAGCCTGCCAGGCCTAGAGCTGCAAACACCCCTCCCTCCCCAAGCTGCCAGGCTCACCTCCAATGACCCTCTCGATGGCCTGCTCAAAGTGCTTCTCCTGAACAGAAGGACTCAGATGCCGGGCGGCGATCAGAGCTGCTTCATTGCAAACACTGGAAATATCAGCACCTGACCCAGGAAGGGAGAGACAGGGACAGTCAGTGCTTCTCCTGGTGGCTGGAGCTTGACCCAGGTCAGCTTTGTTAAGGAACATCTCCAGCAGAGAGGCCGACGCTGAACTTCAGTGGATAACCTGAAGGTAATGGAGCTGCTCCATCTGTCACCACTTAATCTAGCTACACTTTTTGAGAACCTTTATTAAGGCATAAGTTATATACCATAAAATCCACCCATTTTACATGTACACATAAATGATTTTTAATAAGCTTATCAAGGACTGCAACTATTGCCATAATCTAGTTTTAGAAACTTTCCATCATCTCTGTAAGGTACCCTCTGCCTATTCAGTTAATTCCCATTTCCTCCTCTGCCAACCACCCCTCTCACGTCTGTCCCCACAGATTTGCTATTCTATGTAACTCCATTACTCCTCTGCACATTTCACATGAATGGAACTATGTAACACACAGCCTTGTGTGTCCAGCTTCCTGCATTGAGGACAGTATTTTCTAGGTTCACCCATGTGGCAGCATGCATCCATGCTTTATTCCCTTTTTTTTTTTTGAGATACAGTCTCACTCTGTTGCACAGGCTGGAGTGCAGTGGTGCGGTATCGGCTCACTGCAACCTCCACCTCCTGGGTTCAAGCAATTCTCCTGCCTCAGCCTCCAGAGCAGCTGGGACTATAGGCACACACCTGTAGCCATGTGCCCAGCCCCATTTTTATATTTTAAAAAATTGAGATGGGGTTTTGGCACACCCAGCTCATTTTTTATGTTTTTATAGAGACAGGGTTTGACCATTGGCCAGGCTGGTCTCAAACTCCTGACCTCGTGATCTGCCCACTTCGGCCTCCCAAAGCGTTGGGATTATAGGCATGAGCCACCACACCTGGCCTACTTTATTCCTTTTTATAGCTAAATTCAACTACAGTATATGCCACTTTGGCCATTCACCTGCTGATAAGACACTATGATGATTCCGTTGATGCAAAGCAGACTCATCCCTGCTGAGGGACAATGTGTCATCTCTGCTGAGTCATCCCTGCTGAGGGACAGTGCTGCCAACTCTGCTGAGTCATCCCTGCTGAGGGACAGTGCTGTCATCTCTACTCAGTCATTCCTGCTGGGTCATCCCTGCTGAGGGACAGTGCTGTCATCTCTACTCAGTCATCCCTGCTGGGTCATCCCTGCTGAGGGACAGTGCTGTCATCTCTACTCAGTCATCCCTGCTGGGTCATCCCTGCTGGGTCATCCCTGCTGAGGGACAGTGCTGTCATCTCTACTCAGTCATCTCTGCTGATGGACAGTGCTGTCATCTCTACTCAGTCATCTCTGCTGAGGGACAGTGTGTCATCTCTGCTGAGTCATCCCTGCTGAGGGACAGTGCTGTCATCTCTACTCAGTCATCCCTGCTGGGTCATCTCTGCTGAGGGACAGTGCTGTCATCTCTACTCAGTCATCTCTGCTGGGTCATCCCTGCTGAGTCATCCCTGCTGAGGGACAGTGCTGTCATCTCTACTCAGTCATCCCTGCTGGGTCATCCCTGCTGAGGGACAGTCCTGTCATCTCTACTCAGTCATCTCTGCTGAGTCATCCCTGCTGAGGGACAGTGCTGTCATCTCTACTCAGTCATCCCTGCTGAGTCATCCCTGCTGAGGGACAGTGCTGCCATCTCTGCTGAGTCATCCCTGCTAAGGGGCAGTGCTATGTCACCTCTGCTGAGTAATCCCTGCTGAGGAACAGTGTTATCTCTGCTGAGTCATCCTTACTGAGGGACAGTGCTGTCATCACTACTCAAGTCATCCCTGCTGAGGGACAGTGCTGAGTCATCCCTGCTGAGGGGCAATGCTGAGTCATCCCTGCTGAGGGGCAGTGCTGAGTCATCCCTGCAGTCAGAGTCATCAGAGTCATTCCTGAGTCATCTCTGCTGAGGGGAAGTGCTGAGTCAGAGTCATCGCTGCTGAGTCAGAGTCATCGCTGCTGAGTCATCCCCCTCTACGGGCAGAAGAAAGCAGTCTTGGTAGCATTCCAGCTTCTTATCTTTGGTATGTAAATAGACATCTGAAGTCAGCCAGAGAGGACAACAAAAGAGAGGAACCACATTTTGCGTCTAAGACAGATGACACACTTCATATGGCTGCCAGGCAAGAGCTTCTCACTCACCATTCTGCAGCAGACAAATGTGCAATTCTGTGTGTGAATATACTAGACCCCACACTAGACAGGACACTGTGGGGGGCCCAGGGGACAGGTACCACCAGGGATGCCAAGGCAGCTGGAGGGGATGAGACACCACAGCAGAATATTCCAGGCATAGAGGGAGCAGATGGGGTGCAGGTCGGAGCCCGTGGCCAATGGCCACATAACCATGAGGTACTGAGGCAGAACACAGCTGCAGAGCAGGGGAGAGGAGGACAGGAATCCCCCTGGAAAAGTCCCCACTCATTCCTGAGAGTGATCCTGCCCAGCAGGGAAGCAGGTTTCCTAGCATAGACTGAGCTTTCATTAAAAAGACGAGAGAAAATCAAACGGGCTTCCCCAGCAGGGAGGCCAAGCCCCAGGCGGAAACAGCTCAGGAAGCATCACGCTGGCAGATTCTCTCCAGGATGTTACCGTCAGCTCTGCAGTAAGACTCACTAAGTCTGACTATAACTAAACAAATTCAAATGGGTACAAATTAGTTTTGGGGCTAAGAAAAATGATCTGAGGTCGCTGAACACTCTCAACAGGTGAAAAGTCCTACAGACAAGGGTGAGCGCTGCCAGAACTGAATGGAATGGTGAGTCACCAGCGCCCATGACAAGAAGCAGAGCACACATGGTTCCCACCACTCACCAGTGAAGCCTGGGGTGAGCACTGCCAGCTTCCTCGCCAGGGCGTCCTTCCTGAGGCTCTCGTGCAGCTTCAGTGGGCGTAGGTGAACCTTAAAGATGGAGGACCTGCCTTTGATGTCAAGTGGGCCTGGTGAAAAAGAGACACGGGCTCTTGTGCATTCTGGACCTTCAGAACAGCCACCACAGCCACAACCCAGAACTGCAAGGACAGCCGGGACAGTCACCACAGCCACATCCCA